TCTGTTGGGTCACCCTTCTTTGGAATGGGAACAAATATAGATCTCTTCCAGTCAGTTGGCCAAGTGGTTGTTCTCCAGATTTCTTGGCACAATTCACAGATAATACTTGTAATTATGGGGTATACTGGGGAAGCAAAAGGTTTCAATTTTTATTCGAGAATGCTCTGGATACACCTTTAAGTCAAGGCAGCCCCTTCTCAAGCAAGCCTCTCTGTGACCGTTCTGTCACCAAAAAAAACCGACACTGAGCCCATAAAACTTTATATTCTAGACATTTATGGTTAGGCATCGTTGAGTACAACTCACAACAACCCTATAAACAAATGATCTGAGCCCTGCCCTCTCCTGTGCCATCCTCACCATCTCTGACACACTCAAACCCATTTCTACAGTCACCGTATCAACCCATCTGGTCGAGGGCCTTTCTCTCTTTCACTGCCCCTCCACCTTCCCAAGCATGCTGTCCCTCTCCAAGGAACAGTCTCTTCTGGCAACATGCCCATGGTATGTGAGACGAAGCTTCATCCTCTTCGCCTCCAAGGAACAGCCTGGACCTTCCGCCAGAACCATCAGAGAGAGAAAGCCTCCCCCTAGAGCTGGTCCCTGGTGTCTCAGGCACGGAGCCTTTGAAACTGTGAGGCTTATGTGTCAGTTTGTTGTATTGGGAAATTGATCTGCATATTACTAGTTACTTTGGATATTGGATTCTAGACATTAGTGAACTGACATGGACTGATACTGGTATCATCGAGTCTACAAAACCAAGAGTGACAAATGGAGGAGTAATGGCATCACGTACATTGGCAAGAAGAACAATTCAAGATGAATTTTGAAGCACAACATTGTTGGTGGTAAGATACCATCCATATGCCGACAAGGAAGCCTCATTAATGAGACTCTCATTCAAATTTATGCACCAATGATTAATGTCAAAGATGAAGAAATTAGAGATTCTTATCAACTTCAAGCAGTTTGAAATGGATCAAACATGCAATCAAGATACATTGATAATCGCTGGTGATTAGAACGGGAACATTGGAAACAAAAGGAAAAATTAGTAGCAGAAGAGGGGAAATGCCCTTGGTGATAAAAATGTCAGAAATTGAAAGGTAGAATTTTGTAATATCAACTGCTTATTCATTTCAAATACCTTTCTTTGAACAACATAAACACTGACTATACATTTAATAGAGGGGCGCTCTAGCGGTTTGGAGGAAGACTCATCAATAACTTCCATTACGCAGATGGCACAACCTTGCTTGCTGAAAGTGAAGGGTACTTGAAACACTCACTGCAGAAGGTTACACACTGCATTGGATTGCATCTCAATATCTAGAAAACAAAGATCCTCACCACTGGACCAAGAGATGAAAAAAAGGACTGTCAACAACTTCATCTTACTTGGATTGCAGTCAGTACTCTTGGTACCAGCAGACGTATTGCATGACGAAAGTCTGTAGTTAGGGACTTCTTCAAATTATTGAGGAGTAATGATGTCAGTTTGAAGACTAAGGTGCGCCTGTTTCAGGTCATGGTCTTTTCAGTCTCTTGCTGTATATCTGAGAGCTGGACAACTAAGGATGACTAAGGATGACAGAAGAGTCTATGTCTCTGAAATGTGGTGTTGGAGAAGAGTACTGAAGATGCCATGGACTGTCAAAAGAACACACAGATCTGTCTTGGAAAGGGTGCAGCTAGGTTGCTCCTTTGCGAGGAAGATGATGAAGCTTTTGGGGCATGTTGCTAGGAGAGGGCGGTCGAATCCATCAGCTGCTCCATGGCAGGAAAATGAGCACTGTCCCCCACTGTGTGAAATCCCACTGGAGGATCAGCTATGAGTCGGTTCCAACTTGATGGTATAGGACAACATAACACGTCCCATTAGTTCAGCAAATGAAAGAAGTGTCTCGACGTCTCAGAGCCTTGAGAATCCATCTCCTTGAATCTCCAAGGACTTCTCAGAGACTTTAAAAGTGCATCTTCTTTCTTTTCCCACCAGTGTCCAGATGTTTGGCTTTTTTTTCCCTCCTCCTTTTTAAAAATGTATTCATTGTTGCACATTTTTTTTTAATTTGAATTTAGTTTGTTTATTTTTCATTTCAATGAACATCTACAGAGATAAAAAATACGGAACGCTTCACAAATTTGCGTGTCATCCTTGCGCAGGGGCCGTGCTAATCTTCTCTGTATCGTTCCAAACATTGTTGCACATTTTTAAACAATGCATCTTTGGAATTTCCAAAAGGGAGGGGGCTCTGTTCAGATGCACTGATCTTCAGAATGCTTTTCCAGAGCATCTTACAGGCTAAGTGAGACAGTCATTTAGAAAATAGCAATTTAGCTGAAGAGGCACCGCAGACAAGGAGTCAAGGCTCAACCACTAACTAGAAAGTTGGCCGTTCAATCACCACTGGCCCTTCTACATGAGACAAGACCTGGCGATGTGCTTCCATAAAGATCCTGGGCAGTTCTGCTCTGCCGCATTGGGGACTGTAAGAATTGATCATGAGACACACCACAACTGTTTAACTGTTTAAACTGGAAAATCCCTCCCTCCTCCGGCCAGGTGACCTTGAACGTGCAGCCTCACTGAAGGGCCACACAGCTGGGAAGAGGCAGATTGAGAGAAAGATAGGAAGAAAGAAGTGAGAGAAATGGACTGGAGCACACATTTCCTGCAAAGCTCAAATCACTTACAAGGCGGTTTCCCCCTCTGTTCTCAGTACAAAGAGACCAAAAGGAAAACGAAAAAGAAAATCCCAAGGCTGTTCCCTCCACTTGGAGCCCAGCGGCTG